TCCGATTTTTTTCGGGTCGTTAACATCCAAAAAAGTAGGTTCCTTCAATATCTAATTGCTGATTTGAGTTCAGCATATACATTTACACAGAAATAAGACTATTTTGGAAAAATTTGAAGGGATATTAGCGCTTGGGTGTTAAAATAAAAATTTACCGATATTTCTACTGAGTTCATTTCATTGCCATATAACTGAGAAAATTAAATTAATAAAAACGATAAATAAAATAATAAAAATAAAAATGAATAATAAAAAAAATAAAAAAAAAAATAGATTTTTCCATGATGCTAAGAGTAAAGGAACTGGAAATATGATTACCACACCTGATTTTGTTAAACACTGTCAGGTAATGCTGCTGAAGTCTATAAAATAACAAACATTTTTTTGCCTCACTATTTTCCTCCTTTTCTCTAAGATGTTGTGCCACATGGTAATTATGTTTCTGCTGGGAACATTACAACGAATGGTGTTTGTAACCCTCGACCTGTGAAGTAAGTCAAGCTTACTCATTGGTCGTTCCAACTCAGCGCAAGGCATTGTAATGATGCTTATACTGATTTATCCTAAGTTCTGGACCAAGAAAAAGAAAATGGACATCTCATAACCATGTTTAAAACACCCAGTGTTGGTTGTTCCAACTCCGCACAAGGCTGACTTGAGCTTGACCATAAATACGATGCTTATACTTACTTACACTAACTTCTGAATCAAGAAAAAGAAACAGACATATGCAAGAGACATTTAGAACTTTGTTTCACTACCGTCACCATAAAAAGAAAAAACGTCCGTAGTAGAACCTGCGTTTTCATATGTTTATTTTATGCCACATGGGAACACTCACACACTTAAAATACAAACATGCAACCTTCTAAATTCCATATAACATAAGCTAAAAGAAAAACAAAAGCTGTTGGAATTTTAAAGTATTTTTAATTTCTAAAAGACTTCTTTCAGAGAATTTTTTTATTTTTGACAACGTAACCTCTGTGTGTTATTATTACACTAACTTTCCTACTATTCTAAAATGAGTCAAAATCCTTCCAAGAGTTATTTGGAATACTGAACTCCTGTTTTGTTTAGTCTTTGACCAATTCATTCTACAGTTCTCCTTCAGAAAAGATCTCTTTTCTCATAGATTATATACTTGAAGAAGGATGAAAAATAAATCATCTGAAAGAATGGTAACACTATCAACAATACAAGCAAGGATGTTGCTCAGTTATCCAAGCAAATCTTGATATATTAATGACATCCTTTATATATATATATATATATATATATATATATATATATATATATATATATATATCAGAGTTTTTTTATGATCACTTTTTTATATATAGTGGGTAGTACTATATACAGGTAAATTTTTTGGGAGGAGTTTTTTAAGCAAAAAAACCAAAAAACTTCAAGGATCTCACTATACATGAAGTTGTCTTATACATGAGTATATATGGTAGACTTTTTCTTTTTTTTAATTTAAAGTCAAGTTAGCTTCCTTTGAAGATTCTGTAAATGATTTTGAAATGTTTTACAGTGTTTTCTTGAAGCTTTCTAATAAAATTAATGCAGAAACACATCCCTTGCCTTCTAGAATATTAAAATATAAATTTTCTAATGGAATCGCAACATCAAATTTTAAAAACAAAATCTCTAAATAATTAGTGATTCACAGAGAAAAGTCAACGTCAATAGATGTACCAGAAAAATAGGCATTAAACTTAGTGTAGAGAACTCAGTGAGTAACAAACTCACTACCCAATATTACTAGATTACCTCAATAAAGATAATTTGTTGTACTTCCTAAACTAAATTTGACACATGACCTCAAGTGTGGCGGTGTCCAGAAATCCTCAAAGAATAGTAATGGCCTGCTAGACTAACTCATTAATTATTACCACATACCAAAATAATCTAAGAATAAAATTCTCAATTACTATTCCACTTAGTAAGTACAAAAAGCCCATTCATTTATAAAGAGGAATAGTTATAGAAAATTAAATTTGTACCTAATTGATATTTCAAAAAAGAAAAAAATAGATTCCATTTTTCAGGCCCAATCAGCTTGGGCTACTGAAAATAACTTATTTATTTATTTTTTACTTTTTCCATTTTTGGTTTTTTTACCTATTGTACTTAATGCATTAGTAGCTGCAACAAATTAATGGTTCCTGATGTCAATTAAATTCTTTCTTTAATAAAAGTTATCAGTTGATTTTAATGATTTTCTAGTCTTATAGAAAATAGGAAATATTTTAGTATTTATATAGCTTCTGTTAAAATAAATTAAATAATTTCAATTTGTTTATGCTTTCTAATTGATCATATTAAAATGATTCAGAAACAATTTATAAAGACATCAAAAGTCGTTGAATTTACAGTGTTTTTATTTGTTTTTAAACTGGTTTCTTATGCATTAAATTTAACAGGTTTATTTTATAAACTACTAAATTACAATTTAAATTATAGTGACAGACTAATGACAGCAGATTCAAAATGTACCTGACCATAGAGAATTGGCTTGGCTTAACTTATTACATTTATTTACTTTTCCAAATTGTTGGTCATAGAATTTAAAGAAAAAAAATCACACACACACACACACACACATATATATATATATATAAAATAGCTGGTCACTTGTATTCAAGGATACCCATCTATTAGGGCAGCTAGCCAATCCCTATTGCAGAGGCTCACTCAGACACATTTGTGTTTGTTCAGCACCCACAGAGCCAACCTGTGGTTTATACTGCAACCATACTGAGCAGACCTTAGTTACAGTTTCTGGGTAAGAGCGTGTTATCTAGCGTGATCAACAATCTGAACAATGCCAGCACACTCTAACTCTTGGGCATCATGACTTGTGACTTTATACTAGTACAGCTAATAACAGGCTAAGTTCTTCATTGAATGGGTGCTCTTCCATTGTAATCTTTTACCAGTCTAAGCTAAGCTTTTTAAATACCCTTATTATAACTGATGTTAATGAAAGTAAAAATAATGTATTGGTAGTTTGGTAAGATAGGAAAATCTCTAATTATGGATATTTTTACATTTTTCAAATCAAACTATCTTAACACAAATGAATAAAGTTATTTTCAAAATTTAAGTATTTTTTTCCAACAGGTTTTACTGCCACAAGTTATAGATTTTGTTAATGTATTTTTAATCAATTCAACCCAAGCAAGGTAATAAAACAACTAAGATGCAAGTGGTTACTGAGTGTTAGAGAATGAGAAGAAAAAACTATTAAGGAGAGAGAACAATAAATGAACAGGAATTAAAAAGACAGAAGATAATGATTGACATCGCATTTAAATTTTTGAAGATCAAAGTTGACTGGGAAGCTATTCTGCAGTTCTTTATATAATTAGTTAATTCTAATTTGACCACATAATATAAAATGATCCCTTTGAAAGCAATACCTCCTATTATGTTAGTGTGTGTTGTCAGTAGAGGATGAGCCTTCCTGCCAATAACCCATTTTTTTTACCAATAGCAGCTGAGCATGTGTCTAGCAAAATGGAATCTGACAAAAGTGCATATGAAGCAGAGGTGCATCATTAAATTCCTCCATGTTGTAAAGAAATTATACCAATTGACATTCATCAACACGTGAACATCTATGGAAACCAAACAGTGGATGTGAGTACAGTTGGGTTGGGGGTAATGCATTTTAGCAGTGGTGGTGGCAATGTGTGTAACAAACTATGTTCAGGCCAATACACAGTATTTTTCTGACAACATCCTCACTGCTAGGAAAAATAGAGTTTTGTAACAGAAAACTTGCTCACTCCAATGGTGTTATTGTGTTTCTTGTATTTGTTGCAGTTTATATGAAAATAAATGAGTGAAATTACTTTTTGCATATCCTTTTTATACAATCAATTTAATACAATTTAATAAACAATCACACAGAAATGAACAAATAACAAATATATAACAAAGATATTTTTCATATCTCAGTTTATTATCAGAGTATTCCATTAAAAATCATTTTTAGTTTTAACTAGACAACAGTCTCCTGTTCGGTCACACCTTCAGAGAAATTATTACAATGATAAAAAAATGATTATCATTGAATTCGCTCCAGCAGAGATTATGCCACCTTCTGTGTATTATGGGAAAAAGGGGAGATAATTTTTTCTTTTTGTACACATTTATTTGACTCCTACATAAATAAATAAATAAGTGATAATAGTTAGCAGTTAATAATTATCTCCCATGAAAATGTTCTCCCTGACCACCTCAGTTCAGCACAAACTCGGACACCACGATATTTGAAAATCCCCGAGACTTTTTTTGTTTGCATTCTGTTAACATTTTAGGGGTACCAGATTTTCTTATATTCTTTAAGTGAGCAAATTTTTAAGGGTACTTAAATTAATACTTCAAGCTACATTGCAGCATTTTGGCTTCTTAAAGGTTACATACACACACACACAAATCAAACTTAGAGTATTATACAGATTAAGTTTATTTATCTTGTAAAGATATCATTCTTGCTATCAGGGCTGTGGAGTCAAAGACTGAAGCAATTTTGATAGGAGTTGATAAAAACATAACTCAGCTTTAAATGAGAAAAAAGAAAAATGTCTTAAAATATAACAATACATTTGTACATAAAAGTTTCAGTTTTCAGCATTAATGTTTTCTGTTTAAAAAAAATAAGAAAAGAAAATTGTAAATTTTGTTTGATAATTAAAAAAAATATTTTTTGAAAAATTATGAAGCAAAATAGAAATATTTTACAATATCAACGAAGCTTCCCATGAAGTCGGCCATATTTAAACAGCTTCCCATGAAGTCGGCCATATTTAAGCAGTTTCCCATGAAGTCAGCCATATGTAAGAAGCTTTCCATGAAGTCGGCTATATTTAAGCATTTCACCATAACTGAAGATGGAAAACGTTTTATGTTTCAGTGATTCACATACGATGCAAATATTGCTACTAATTAATATATGTTTGCCTTTTATGAAGGTGTTGTACTTGGAATCAGTAAGTAGAAAAATAGAGGAGTCGAAGTTGAAGATTTGATGTACTGTCTCCACAGCCCTGCTTGCTAAAAAAAAAAAAAAAAAAAAAAAAAAGAATTGGTGAGTTGCCAGCTTAATTAGTTATTTAAACTCCCAAAATTTCATCATTTAATTTATTATACTAGATTGTTTGGAAAGTAATATTGTATTTTTGAAGTTGGAGATAAAACAAATGCAAATACAATTAAGGTCATTTGTCATTAATACATCACACAATCATTATCATTAATCCAGTGTAAAAAAAACAATTTTACCAATTCCTGGTGTTTCTGATGAAAAGAAATCTAAAAAGTCTTGAATTTTCCTTATTCCTGAATCTCCAGACACTAAGATAGTGCATTAATGACTCTAATAAATAATAATCCAAATGTGTTAGATAGAATATAGAGAATGAGGTAAAACAAAAAGTTCTTCTGAGAATGAGGTAAACATCCCCAGCTTAATGATTTTATTTTCTCTTGGGTTTGTTTTGCTGATTGAGACTTTGCATTGTCAGGTTGGAGAGATGACAACCATTGAAGAAATCTGCACATTACTAATCTAATGTACAATTGACATGCTTCACTTGCTGACACTAAAGCTGTTACAGTTATTGCTTTCTTAATAATATCTATCATATCCTATTAAATCCAATGGTAGATCAAGACTTTGTTTTTGATGTTGGGATTCGTTTAACACTGGGTGGTACATTACTATTGTGCTTGAGTTTATGTTAGGTGGCCTATCTTAGATTAACTTTTTGTGTGTGTGTGTGTGTGGGGGGGTGATAACATTAGTTCTAAAACTTTCTAGAAAGTTCATTGTCTGCCCCCATCTACCTTTGGACACTTCAATGTTAGCAAGTTTGTCTTGTTAGATCTATTATGAGTAGTGAGTTTGATCCTTACTGGATGCTCAATACTTACGGCCTTGTGCCACATCTAAGCTATGTTTAGTTGTTTCAATTTTGAATGTATTCATAATTATTATCATATTTACAAGTTTGTTAGTTTTTACTGATTCTCACATTTTTTCAGCCTGTTAACCATTATTTCTACCACAATAAGGGGGACTTCTATTGCAAACACGGTTTATCTTTGGTTTTGTAAATATATTTTAAACATTGTAAATATTCATTGGTGCTTAAATTTCTAAATGCTGTTGTATTCTACTACCCCCCGCCCGACAAACAGCACATCTTTTGCACCCTAGAACGCAGTTGTCATCAATTTTGTCACTGACTCAGAAAGGCTGCTAGGTGCACACCCTGTATCCCTGATACATAAAAAATCTAAAAGGACACAGTAAGCTCCCTATCTGTGCATCCCAGGGACACACCTCAATTTTCCCATAAAAAGAAATACATTGTACACAACCAACCTGTAACAGTTACAAGACGGTAAAAGACATTTGTTGTTTATTGATACTAAATAAACAAGGACATCAGTTCAATGATTTGTCTATGTTTAATTAAAAATGTAACTAATATATTGTTTTTGTAACTGAACATGAATCATTTGTCAGTGAATTATGATAGATATTAATGGCAACTAGTACTTATCTACTTAATTCTTTTTTTTTTAAACATTTTGTATTGTTAAATCTATTATGAAACATGTTTTTTTTTTCTATTAGGTCTGCTGTTAGGAAAGTTGTTATTGTGTTGTGCTAGACAATTTTTCACACCAGAATCTATTTTACATATTTATAAATCAACCATTCATCCTTGCATTGAATATTGCTGCTACATGTGGTCTGGTGCTTCTGCTATATATTTAGATTCTTGATAAAATCCAAAGAAGAATCAGTAATATTATTGGTCCTGACTTGGCATCTCGGCTTCAGTCACTTTCCCACTACCATTGCTTCCCTGTGGCTATCCTAGAAATACTTTCATGGTAATTGTTCTAATGAACTTTTCTTTATGGTATATAGACTTTATGAATTTAATTGCAATACTAGATTGGTGGCAACATCTCATCATTTTACAATTGAAATGTCTAGATGTAATTGTAAATTTTATGCTAACAGTTTCTTCTATTGCACTTCTTGCTTGTGGAACTATCTTCCAGCTTCTTTTTTCCCAGTCAAATTTGATCTTCAAAAATTTAAATGCAATGTCAATTATCATCTTATTCTCTAACACTCAGTAACCCCTTACGTCTTAGTGGCTTTTATGCCTTGCTTAAGGTAAAATGATTAAAAAGAAAATTACTGTAAATGTTTTAACTAACAGAGACATATTTGCTATGATTGGCTGGGATAATATACACTTGATTTTGTAGCCTCTGTTCCAGTTGGCATGATAGATAAGTACCATATTTGATGCATTTTTTTCACTAAAAATATATTTTAAAATTCCCTTGCATCTTATATGCCATATATAGGTTTAAAATTCGTGATAGTCGACCGAAATTAGCTACCTGGCAACTCCTATTAGCTTAGATTTTAGAGTAACTTTCTATTCTACATATTGTCATTATTTAAAATGCTATTATGCAGATTAAAAGCGTTATCATTGATAATATTCATTATATTAATTTCATCACATTTAATATTTGTACTTTGTTTCACTAAAATTGTATGCAATAAATTCAAATTATATATTTGTAAAATATATTTGTTTCATTAATATTTTTTCTGCGATAACTTCTGGTTGCATTGGTATAAATAAAATCAGAATTTTTATATCCTATTTATTCCACTAAGACATTTACAAGACACAGGTTGTACAGATCATATAAAGGAAAATTTTTGACTGAATTTTAGTGGTAACTGTACTGTTTTGCTCATTTGTAATAATTGCTTGATTTTTATTTTGTTTTCTTATCTTTGAATATAATAAAGTTTTTATAGGCTCATGTTCTTTTTTCCCTATTATTTTTCATTTATGTGTAATCATGGCTTATTTAACCAATGCTGTTAAATATGGTAAGTGGAAATGGGTCGGACTAATAACGTCATTTAATAACACTACAATTTATTAAGAAACTAGTTGTGACCCACTGAAATCACATGTAGGTCCTAGGGACTCACTAGATTAAATCCTATCATGGCTGACTACTGAAGTTTGAAATCTTTTTTGAGGGGTCAGTGAATCCATGCCATTGAATCAATCTTGGCTTCTCTCAACTATCATATTTGATCCCCTCAATTTTATATTTACCTGAAAAGCAGTTCCACACAGAGAGGATGTGTGGCTTGTGTAATAGTGGTTCAGAATGAGAAATCAGAGCGCCAAGTTCAAATTCCAGTTGGGTTTGTTACATTCACTTATATACAAATACCCTTAGGAAAGGCATAAATCCATCTCCTCCCTCCAGCTATGGGTTAAATAGTAGGACTTGTATCTGGAAAAATCATTGTTAGTCTCAAAAAATTGTTAATGCAATATTCACTTGAAAAAAAAACAAAAAAACCCAAAACAAAACAAAAAACAAACAGAATTTACAATCCAAAATCTGTTTCAGCTTTAAATAACTCACAAAGGGTTGATAAGCCATAAAAAAAACAAATCGGCCAATTCACACAGATAATACTGTTGTTGCAGAGGTGCAAAGGTCACTACAGTTACTTGATGCCATGATCTTCAAGAACGGTATTTATGCGTTCTTGCATCAAAGTGACAAATGCATAACTCTCAATGGTGACTCTGTTGTGGAAAAGTTGCGTTGTAGTGCTGCTAATGTATGCACAATGTTTTAATTGTATAGTAATAAACATATTGGATTAGTTTAATGTTTGTATCTTACTTTTCAGACATACTGCAGAGTCTTCATTGACTTTGTTACATGACAGGTTTCGGGGAAATTCAAGCAGCATGCAATGGTGAATATGAAAAGATGGTGAAAAGTGCTTAGAATCTGACCAAAAATTATTTTTATTTTTAAGGATTTGTGATCAGGCTAATAACATTTCAGTAGCCCTTTGTATAACACTCGTTAACATCTATTTCCTGTCAGTTATTATAAACGATGCACAGCACAAATGTTGAACTAAATTTAATTTCATTGTTTATTTTATAACCTTGATTTTACAATAGTTGGCTGGTTCCAAACTTGTATATTTTAAATACATTATTACTTTCCAAACAAATTAACAATCTTTAATAATCTAGCTTTAATTAAAAAAAGAAAAAAAAATTTAAAATATAACAATACACTTTTATATAAAGTCTTTCAGCATTAATATTTTTATTTTACTTTTCAAAAAAAAAAAAAAAATTGTAATTTGTTTGATAATTTTTTAAAAATTTATATTTTTAAAAAAATTATCAAGTAAAATAGATATTTTACAATATCAAAATAACTTCCAATGAAATCGGCCATATTTAAGAAGCTTCCCATTTCATATAAATTTTTGTTTAAATTTCATATATTTTTCAATCTCTAGACCTCACTTTCTCTCTCTTCCATTTTAAATGAATTCTGTATTTTTATTTTGTTTGTTACTACTCACATTCTAAATTAAAATGTCTGACAGTACATTTCAATATAAATGAAGAAACTTAGCTGGTTAGTACAGTCATCCTGATCTTTGTAACATCCCTCTGAAAGTGTTTCTCATAAGAAAACTGACATTTTTGCAGTCAGTTGTTTCATGCAGACTATTCTTGATGGAATCAAACAGTATTAGGAATTGTACAAGAGGATTTTTATGAGGTCTTCCATGTGATCAGTACATATATTTGCCTCTCTTTGCGGAGTTTGGTGACTAATATATTGGTGAAGAAACAGACTGTGTGTGTCATGATGATTTTCTTCTGAAAGAAGAATGTCACAGATTAGTAGCCTGGAAATTCACTTGACCGCAATCCCATTAACCTTTATCCCCCTGCATCATTAATATTACTTCCATTTCCACTACATTCTTTTTCAAGGTCTCTCAATTGCAGTAACCTTATTGTTAATTTCACTCAAAGGTGTTTTCTGTTTCCATAGCAGGATATAATGACACAACTATGAAATTTGAACATGCTATTGTTCAGGGATTAGAGTTACCTTCAGTGGCAGGATAAGTTTTTTTGTCACATACAGAGTGATAAGAA